CCATCTGGTCTTTTGCCGTCATCACGTACCAAACCATTAGGTTCTAATACGGCTGGTACACCGGCTGAGGCAAGAGCACGACGAATGATGTCGTTGATGCTGGCATGGCGAGCTATGCGGCCTGCACTTCTGCAACAAGAAAGACCATGGTGTCCCAAGCCATCGACTCTTTCTCCACAGTGACAATAATGCGGAGAAACACAAGGAGCATGTACTTAAATGTCATTTTCAACTACGTGCGACAGATAATACGGAAAGTATGGTACAGAAAGAGATAGCTATTATAAAATTACGACAATTGTCTGAATTCGTTCGCAACAATTTTTGCGTGCCAGTGCGATATCTACCTCTTTTTATTATTTATAATATCATTGCTCTCAATGATGTTTTCTTTAGAAATTTTAACACAACGAGCGTAGAAAGCATTGCCTGAGCTGGGGGCTTACTCTTGAATCCAATTCCGATCGATCGAAATTGGTATTGCGAAATTTCGTACTCTTGAGTTGCTACACCAGCGCCCATTGCATTCGTATTGCGTGGATATTGAATGACCTAAATGGTATTCAGTTTGGCTTTATATTCCGTACCAGGGCCGGATTTAGGGGTCCAGAGGCCTCGGGGCAACAAAGAAGTGGAGGCCCCCTTGCCCCAAATTATTTTCCAGATTGATATCGAGGACGCTCGCTTGATTTCGAGGACGCTCGAAACCGATCGAGGACGCTCGATTGATTTCGAGGACGCTCGATAGATTTCGAGGACGCCTGATAGATTTCGAGGACGCTCGAAAACGATCGAGGAGTCTCGATAGATTTCGTGGACGCTCGAAAACAATCGAGGACGCTCGAAAACGATCGAGGACTCTCGATAGATTTCGAGAACGCTCGAAAACAATGGAGGACGCTCGAAAACAATGGAGGACGCTCGAAAACGATCGAGGACGCTCGATTGATTTCGAGGACGCTCGAAAACAATCGAGGACGCTCGATAGATTTCGAGGACGCTCGAAATCGATCGAGGACGCTCGATTGATTTCGAGGACGCTCGAAAACAATCGAGGACGCTCGATAAATTTCGAGGACGCTCGAAAACGATCGAGGACTCTCGATAGATTTCGAGGACGCTCGAAAACAATCGAGGACGCTCGAAAACGATCGAGAACTCTCGATAGATTTCGAGGACGCTCGAAAACAATCGAGGACGCTCGATTGATTTCGAGGACGCTCGATAGATTTCGAGGACTCTCGAAAACAATCGAGGACGCTCGATAGATTTCGAGGACGCTCGAAAACAATCGAGGATGCTCGAAAACGATCGAGGACGCTCGAAAACGATCGAGAACTCTCGATAGTCTTCGAGGACGCTCGATAGATTTCGAGGACGCCCGATAGATTTCGAGGACGCTCGAAAACGATCGAGAACTCTCGTTAGATTTCGAGGACGCCCGATATATTTCGAGGACGCTCGAAAACAATCGAGGACGCTCGAAAACGATCGAGAACTCTCGTTAGATTTCGAGGACGCCCGATAGATTTCGAGGACGCTCGAAAACGATCGAGGACTCTCGATAGATTTCGAGGACGCCCGATATATTTCGAGGACGCTCGAAAACAATCGAGGACGCTCGAAAACGATCGAGAACTCTCGTTAGATTTCGAGGACGCCCGATAGATTTCGAGGACGCTCGAAAACAATCGAGGACGCTCGAAAACGATCGAGGATGCCCGATAGATTTCGAGGACGCTCGAAAACGATCGAGGATGCCCGATAGATGTATGTATAAAGTACTTTAGGCTGTAGGTAAAGGTAAAAGCGAAAAAAAAATATCAAAGAAAAGATGTTTACTAGGTTTACTAGTTGAAATTTGAAAGATTTTTTTTTCCGAAGTCTCTATTGTGGAGGCCCACTGCTTGTGGAGGCCCCGGGGCTTTCGCCCCGGTTGCCCCCCCCCCCCCCCCCTAAATCCGGCCCTGTTCCGTACTCTGAATGCTATTTGAACAGCTACTATTCTGGTTGTATAGTTTTGACATTGAATAATTATTTAGATTTTATTGGATTGAAATTGCATTGACATTGAGATTGGCTTCAAGAGTAAGCACCCTGTTTTCTAGTAGCGTCTCATTGTTATGAATGAAGAATATAACAGGCGATAGTAAAGCAGCCAGCATTTACCGTGATTTTTATATTTTTGTCTGAGAATTGGATACACATTCGCACAATTTTTAGCAACTTTACCAAATATACCTTTTTTAAAGTAAGACTACAGATACTCATATCGAATTTGGGTTTAAATCACATTAAAAGGTGATGAGCTCAAAAGGGAAAGGGGATTCTTCTAACTATACCAGTAAATTACTGTCATAGATTACGAATATGGATCCTTGTATCGAATTTGAGGCGCCACCGGTCGGTATACTGCGCAAAAAGGAAGGTGAGAAGGATTTTTGTATCGGATTTGGAACGCCATCAACCAGGAGTGGGCGGCGAGTAGTAGATTCTCTCTACCAGTCCTACCGTTTACAGAAACCGATTAACCTCTCGCGCGCTTCTCGTACACACGGGTAAACGCGCGATAGAAAAGCTAATTAACTATTCTGTTCAATCAAATAAAGAACGGGTTGCAAACTTGAAAATATACGTCACAGAAAAAATATCAAATCGGTGCGCGTTTCTCGTACACCCGTGTGTACAATTGCGCGATGGGCACTCAACTCTCTCGTACACCCGTGTGTACGAGAAACACGCGAGAGGTTAAGGATACTTGTGTACAATTTGGGGCGCCACGCACCACCAACCGGTATAAGCTTATAGGGATTCTTGTATTAGATTTGGGGTGCTATTAACCGGTATTGGGCGGCGAGTAGTAAGATTCCCCGAATTTTACAATTCCTAATATTCATAGAATGACGTGGTGGCTCGGAGGTTTAAGACGCCTCTTACGCATAAGGGAGCGGGTTCGAAACCTACCAACGGCAAGTACCAATGTGACTTTTTCCGAGTTATATGTACTTTCTAAGATTACTTAGACACCACTGACAAACGGTGAAGGAAAACATATTGAGGAAACCTGGGCTTATAATTTCTAATTATAAGTTTGAAATCGCCAACCCGCATTGAGCAAGCGTGGTGATTAATGTTCAAACCTTCTCCGTGTGAGAAGAGGCTTTGCTCAGCAGTGGGCATTTATAGGCTGTTGATGAATATTCATAGAATACGACTAAAGTTACTTGTATAGAATTTGGGGCGCCACTGAACGGGAGCAGGCGGCGAACAATTTTCGGTTGATTCCAAGTTTGGTATTGCATTCTTACTACCTAATATTATAAATCGGAAAGTGAGTTTGTTTGTTCCGCTTTCACGCCGTAACTACTAAACCAATCGCTTTGAATTTTTGCAGACGTAAAGTAGAAGTCCGGATTACATAATAGGGTCCTTTTTATCCCGGAAAAAATTGATATTCTCGAGGGAAAACGAAATTATTGGTATAGATGGCGCTGTGTGTATTGGTATATGTCACATAGGCTACTTTTTATCCTTTTGTGACGCGAGCGAAGCCGCGGGTAAAAGCTAGTCTTATAATAACTATCTTGAGACATACTAAATTAACTAAAAATCGCGTGTTACTTACGTGAATATACTGAGAAAAGCTCTCCAAGTTTCGAACCACGGAGGGGTTCTTCCTCATGAGCAGCGTGCGCGGTCGCGGCGATGTCGCGCTTTAGTCTTATTCTTAACGGATGACGATACGATGGTTATAACGCTAATATTGCTTGCGTCGAGTGGGATTTTTTTCGGCGATGATATTTCTTATGCTTTCTGTTTACTCCATACAACGATTTTGAATAGTAGGTAATGAGTCGCACGATCGCGCCCGTGCGCTGTGCATGCCTTGCACGCCCGCTTACGGCGGGCCTGTCAATAGTGTAGCGAATTCGATTCTCGCACACTGTGATCCACGAATTTTGTTCCAGGTCTGTGTGTCATGTGTATGTGAAGTTGTATGTTGACCCAGGAAAGAATCATAGGGTGGAGCAATGAATAAAAAAACCATCAAATAATTCATATCAAAAAATTATTGTAAAAATATTTATTCCATACAAACAACATAAAAAATAAAAATACAAATTAATTACATACATAATCAATTCACACAATTTAAGTTTTTAAAAATAACTGTAGGTACTATACAACATACAAGCATCTTGCTAGATTTTTATGGGACATATCATGTGATGGTACACAATCCGCGCCGCCCATGGACACCCGCAACACTAGCGGAGTTCCAAATGCGTTGTTGATGTTTTGGGGTTTAGGGATATGAGTGGTAAGTGTGGGCTCGCCATGCTTCGGTACGAATGGGCCGGCTCGACCGGAGTGATACCACGGCCGAGCAGAAAACCGACGTGAAGCAACGCTTGCGTTGTGTGTCGTCGTGTGAGTGAGGTTACCGGAGGCCCAATTACCCTTCCCCAATCTCCCCAATCCCTGAATCCCCAACGATCCTCAAAATCCTTAAAAGGCCGGTAACGCACTTGTAACGCCTCTAGTGTTCCAGGTGTCCATGGGCGACGCCGGTTACTTACCATCAGGTGATCCGTCTGCTCGTTTACCGGCTTATGCCACAAAAAGTGCTTCTATTGAAATATTTTCTAATCCTATTAACCCCTCAAGCGTCCTTATGCGAGCACCCGGTGGATCATAAGAAAACATTCTCCATGCTGCTTTCTCTTTTATAAAATCAAATGTTTTGTTTTTATTTTGACTGTATTTGTTTTATTTTTATTGTAATGATCCTTGTATTCGTGTGCCAATGGCCAAATAAATGCATTTTCTTTCTTTATTTCTTTCTTTCTCCAAATGTCACGTGTGCACCCGTTGGATCATAAGTAACGCGGACGCTCGACGGGGTAAGTATTTTTTGTGTGTATGCAAGGTCGGTCGCCAACCTCTGAGGCAGTAGATACACAATGCTTGTATATGGTGTTTGATTCCAGGATGCCACACTATATCCACGCCTCCCAACCGGACCTGGTGACCGATAGAATACTCGGGTGTATGCACTGTCGCAGTAGATATGATATCTGAAAAATTAAATACAAATTAAGACACATATTAGTATTTAACTAATATGTATTATAAATGCGAAAGTTTGTGTGTATGTTTGTTGGGGGGCGTCCATAAATTACGTGAGGTGTTTTTTTAATTTTCTGTCCCCCTTCTCCCCCTGGTGAGGTTTCGTGAGATTTTATTCAACACCCCCCCCATACTCCGACCTCACGTGAGATTTTTCAAAATTTTGCTTTTTCATGTAAGCGCGTTGAATTGATATTGTAAAAAGAAAAAAACTTCATGAACAGTCAAAGTTCAAAAGTCCACTGCCACCGTGAGTGATGTTCACACGGCAATGCGTAAGTAATTTCATATTAATGTGCATAAACACGTGTGCGTACGCATAAACACACGCACGCGTACGCACACGGATAAAAATATGTGTGTGTGTGTGTATGTGCATGTATGTGTGTGAGGGTGTGTGTGTGTGTGTGTGTACATAAGCGCTGCAGCGCAACCGAATGCAGCGAAAAAAAAAGCGCAACCGATAGTAGTCTTACGGTGGTAGTGGACTTTTGGCCTTTGACTGTACATACAATCTGGATTAAATACACTAAAAAAGTAGGTATAATTTATTTTTTCTTTCAATCAGAAAAAAAAGTTACGTAATATTTGCCGAGACCTCCCCTCTCCAACGTAAGATTAGATGAGTTTCGAGTCTACCCCTTCCCCCCTTTAACATCTCACGTAATTTACGGACGCCCCCTTCCTCAATCACGTCAAAACGGGTGAAGGGATCGGGATGAAATTTGTAACAGGGGTAGATCATGGTTTGGTATAACACTTTTTTTTTATTATACTAGATTCTGCCCGCGATTTCGTACGCGCAATCCCATTTTCCCCCCGTTCCCGTTCGTGATTTTCGGTAAAAAGTAAAAAAAAGTATCCTATGTCCGTCTCCTGGTTCTAAGCTACCTCCCTGCCAACTTTTATCTAAATCGATTGAGGCATTCTTGAGTTATAAATAGTGTAACTAACACGACTTTCTTTTATATATATAGATTACAGTTTAATTCTCCACGGACTCTTGATCCGTGCCCTTGTCATATTTTTTTTTTTATTAAAATACATCTATGTAGTCAATTTTTATAAAGTAAAGAAGGTATCTATTTACACACTAGAGGTACAATAACTAATACTGGAATAACATTTAGGCTATTTTTTATCACACGGGAATGTGGGGACTGACTCTTTGATCGAGTGGTTGTAACTGCGACTGCCGGACAAGGGATCTCGGGTTCGATTTCCGGGTCGGGCAAAGTACTACTGATTTAAAAAAAAAATCAGTAGAGTAGTATGGAGTCTGGAACTGTGCCCGGTATATGGCAATAGGCTCACCCCCTATTACATGGGACTCATAACATAAATAGTGAAAAGTGGGTGTTACATTGTACAGTGGCATTAAGTGCCGTAATGTGCACCTCTGTTATGTTATGAGAACGTAGGCAAAGACAGAAGAGCAGACTATATTCGGAATTTTAATTCGATTCCAGATTTGACAATTTCAGTGTTGCAACGTTATGCCAAGTACTAAATAGTGACGTTGTGAAATTATTCGGTATGGAAATGCAATATTTCTGCATCGATTCTTCTCGTTTATAATTTTACTCTCGTAAACTAAGTATATCAGAAAATTAAATATTTCTGAACCGATAATTTAGTTTTGACGATTAATTAACGATCTGAGACTTTTCTTTTATAATTGTGTGTGAAATAAACAAAAAATGTAATCATGAAGGAACATGACAAATAAACAGATAGATGTATTATGGTAATAAGTTATTTTATAAATTGTCGCCGTCAGCGCTATCGCTATCCTGTCACTTTCTATAACATATTATAAAACACACACACTGATTGTTTATCGATTTTTGTGTTCATCACTACACTATTATATGTGGTATCATTATTTCACAAAATGACAGTAGCTATTGTCAAATCTGGAATCTAATTAAAATTCTGACTATAGTTCTAATAGAAAATATATTTTTGGTTACCTGTTCCTCCACAGTATAAGTATCTTTAGATGCGAAGTCCTGGAACACATCGTCCAATAACGCGATGTATTTATCTTTATTCTTAATCTCCGACTCTTCGAGACACTCTCTAGTTATTGTATAAGACACTGTGTCGCCTCGTAATATTTTGTTTATGTAAATTAACTGAAAAAAATAACACCAGATGTGAGAACTTCTTCCTTTTTGAGAAGTCGGTTTAAAAAGGACACAAATATATAGGTTTTTTTACTGCCTCGTTGGCCGAGTGGTCGCAAATGCGACTGCCAGGCAAGGGGTCTCGGGTTCGATTCCCGGGTTAGGCAAATTATTACTGGGTTTAAAAAAAACTCAGTAGTAGCACGGAGTCTGGAATTGCCCCTATTACATGGGACTCATAACATAATATAGTGAAAAGTGGGTGTTATTTTGTACAGTGGCATTATGTACACCTCTGCCTACCCCTTTGGGGGTAAAAGGCGTGATGTTATGTATGTATGTATTACTATGTATATACGTTTTTAAAGTTAAAGAATTTATTTCAATTAATCTTTAATTAGGCACATTTGAAACGAATAAAAACATAATTGAATTGTCCGTCCGTCCGTCTGTCAGTGAAGCTAGGCGCTCGATCTAAAGTGTAGTTTCGAATAGAGAAGAACGAGCAAGAAACTCCATTCGTTACTCTTTTAAAAAAATCAATAGGTTACGAAAATTAAAAATCTAATTAGTCCGTCAGTTAAATAATGAAACAATATTAGACACGTTTTTTTTAATTTTGTCGTATAATAAAACGATACTTAGATAAAGCGGAGTTAAGTTTAGGAGCTGAAGGTCGTTACATCACGCTACCCTATAAAATGTAGTAAATCGTGACGTCACACGATATTTCAAATCAATATATCGTCGAAAGTATTTAATTTTGTACGAAAATAAAAAATATGCGTCTAATGTTTTAAAATAATCTATCAGACGGACATTTTAATAAAAATTAAGATACTACCCTATTATGCAGGATTATAAGTATCAATCGATGAGATATACTAAATTAACTCGTCGAGAACCGTCATTATAGACACAATTAAAGAACAATAGGTTGCTGTCACCGGTGTCTTCGCGGTGTTTGACAGTTTACAAAGAGTTTCCTTTTCTTGTATAGAAGCACTAATTCTATGGATTGTCAGTATGCATATGTGAGCACCATGTTGGACTTTAAGTTAATTTTTATTTATTTTTATTTTTTTTTAATTTTAGTAAGTTATTTGCGCATTGTTCTTACATATGCGTACAGTATTGAAATATGTATCAGAGACATTGTAGAACATACTTTTTTAAAAAGAGTAACGAATGGAGTTTCTTGCTCGTTCTTCTCCATTCGAATCTACTTTTTGGAATGAGCACCTAGCTTCACCTAGTTTCACTGACGGACTGACTGACAGACTATTATTTATTTTGTATTTGTTGACGTTTCAAAAGCACCAAACTATGGTTTAATTGAAATAAATGCTTTGACTTTAATTGAAATATTTGGCTGCGAGATGTCGCCACGCACACAACTCATGTATATAAGTCCCAGATCACCGGGGCTCCGGCTCGACGTGCAGGAGAAGGAACGGGGTGGTTTTTAGTCAGTAAGAGTCTGACACTCCCTCTCGCCTCACCCAGGAGCAGGGGGAGCAGTCATTCGATGATTTCCCCCCCTTAAAATTATACTTTTAACTTACCTCTTTAAATTCCGGACCCAGCCAATAGAATGATGTCTTCAGAAACGTTTCAAAAGTTTTTTTATTATTTCTCAAAAACAATAACAGTTGTTGTAGTCGACTCTCCAACACTGGAACAAGAACATTTTATTATTATTAATGTTATGTTATATAGGTAGACTATATAACATAACATAACATTAAGCCTTTTATCCCTGAAGAGGAGGCAGAGGGCAAATGTAATATGCACCTCCATGGCAGCCATGCTTCTGCACGAATGGGCCTGCTCGATCGGAGTGATACCACGGCCTCACAGAAGACCGACGTGAAGCAACGCTTGCGTTGTGTTTTGTCGTGTGAGTGAGGTTACCGGAGGCCCAATTACCCTCCCATTCCCCATTCTCCCCAATCCCAAAAAAAATTATGGCACTTAATGCCTTGTACATTAAGTTATGAGTCCCATGTAATAGAGGGTGAGCCTATTGCCATATACTGGGTATAATTCTAGACTCCGTGCTACTACGTACACTATTAATACAACTATAGAACTGTTAAATCAACTTGGACGATAATCACTACATAGTATAAAACAAAGTCGCTTTCTCTGTCCCTATGTCCCTTTGTATGCTTAAATCTTTGAAACTACGCAACGGATTTTGATGCGGTTTTTTTAAATAGATAGAGTGATAATTAAAGAAGCCAGGGCGGGTTGCTAGTTAAAAATAAAAGGTAGCTCAGAATCAAGAGGCGGAAATAAGATACTTTTTACCAACTATTTCCCGAAAATCCCACGGGAACGGGAAAGAACGAGATTGCACGTACGAAGTAGCGGGCAGAAGCTATTGAGTTATATTTTACCTTTAACATCACACACAGCCAATAAATTGGCCGTAAGTCTAGCGGGGGGTAGCTCTCGACGTCCGTATTTGAAGATGGTCGCCCAATCCACGGCGCAGACGCCACCGTCTCTAGTATTGAACATTATATTCTGTAGGTGACGGTCGCCTACACCTGTAAGCAAAAAGGAAATAGCTGTTGACTACATCATATATAAAAAATGCTTTTTACATCACGCCATCACGCCTTTTATCCCCGAAGGGGTACGTAGATGTTTACTATGCCACTTTACAATGTAACATCCACTTTCCACTATTTACGTTATGAGTCCCATGTAATAGGGGGTGAGCTTATTGCCATATACCGGGCACAATACCAGACTCCGTGCTACTACTGAGAATTTTTAAAAATCTAGTAATACTTTGCCCGACCCGGGAATCGAACCCGAGACCCCTTACCCGACAGTTGCACTTGCGACCACTCAGCCAACGACGTAGAGAGAACAGAAAAATGCTTTATCTGTCTGACAATATGTATGCTTAGATATTTAAAACTACGCATCAGATTTTGATGGGGTTTTGTTAAATACCTCTACATAGAGTGACGGTTGTCGCATGTATACTGATCGTAGTGTGATGTTTCATAAAACAAATGATAAATGACAATTTAACTCGTTGAGTACCGTCATTATAGACACAATTAAAGAACAATAGGTTGTGGTCACCGGTGACCACTCGGTGTTTGACAGTTTAATATTCAAAAAGAATTATAAAAATCGGACCACTAGTTCTGGAGATTAGCACGTTTAAACAAAGTCGAAGCATTTATTTCAATTAAACCATAATTTGGTACTTTTGAAACGTCAATAAGTACAAAATAAATAATAGTCTGTCAGTCAGACCGTCAGTGAAGATAGGTGAAGGTAGGTGCTCATTTCAAAATGTAGATTCGGATGGAGAAGATAAGAAACATACAAATAAACTCAATTCGCTTTATGTATTAACTAGCTACTTCCGCGCGGTTTCACACGCTCTGCTCAGCTCCTATTGGTCGTAGCGTGATGTTTTATAGCCTATAGCCATCCTCGATAAATGCGCTATTTAACACAAAAATAATTATTCAAATCAGACTTGTAGTTACGGAGATTAGCGCGTTCAAACAAACAAATAAAAAAACAAATTCTTCAGCTTTATAATATTGGTATAGATATAGATAGATAAAGATAAAAACTTGAAATATGTGATAAAATTACCGAAAATCCAGCTCAATATGGTCATGGAACTCAAAGTGTCTTCAAAGGTTCGTTTCTTAGCTATGAACTCCTGAACACAGGAACTGTTGCTCTCTATAGCTGATCTGTAAAACAAAATAAAAAAAAACTCCTTTATTCGGTTAATATATTAAAACCAGGGTGTTTACTCTTGAAACCAATCTCAATGCCAATGGAATTTAATCCAATAAAATAACTCAATAATTATTCAATGTCAACACTGAACAACCACAATCGTAGCTGTAAAAACAGCATTCAGAGTACGGAATATAAAACCAAACTCAATACCATTTAGTTTAATAAATATCCACGCAATTCGGATGCAATGGGCGCTAGTGTTGTAACTCAAGAGTAAGAAATTTCACAATACCAATGCCGATCGATCGGGATTGGCTTCAAGAGTAAGTCCCCTGGTCCTGTGTATAAAACACTACTTCCGCGCGGTTTCACTCGCTCCGCTCGGCGCCTATTAATCGTAGCTTGATGTTTTATAGCCTATAGCCTTCCTCGATAAATGGGCTATCCAACACAGAAAGAATTTTTCAAATCGGACCCGCAGTTTCGGAGATTAACGCGTTCAAACAAACAAACAAACAAACTCTTCCGCTTTATATAATAGTATAAGAGTATAAGATACGATTTTTCTGAAAACCGAATATTTTTCAAGTCGGTCTTTAGTAATTGTAATTTCACCCCCTTTCTGACGACAGATCGATCTGATATTTGGTACACACTCTTAATCTTGATGACCTTACAATATTAACAATTTTTTTTTCGCAACTACCGTCTCTATGGAAATCAAACGAGAGCGCTTGATTGGTAGAATAGACTTCATTAAAACCGTTTAACATAATGCATTATATCCATTATATCAAATCAAATAAAATCATTTATTTGCTAATATGGGTAAATTACATTAATTTGTTAACAGAAATGTACAGTTTCGACCATCATACGCATTTTTTTAAGGGGGAAAATCATCGAATGTCTGATCCCCCCCTGGGTGAGGCGGGCGGGAGTGTCAGACTCTTACTGACTAAAAACCACCCCGTTCCTTCTCCGGCACGTCGAGCCGGAGCCCCGGTTACCCGTTAGGTTCTCCGCGACACCATTATACGCCTTGATGCAAATTACAAAATGGAAGCATTATAATATAACAATATACTACATGTACATTTTCTTAAATCCTAAATTTAATAATACTTATTAATTCTTACCTGAGATTGTACGGAGTAACTATAGCGGACTTTTCGTTAAATTGTTCTAACGCTAAACGCGGTGCCAAGATTAACTTCTCGTCGTTCATCCTATGTGCTGGTACTGAAACAAAATATAATATTGAAAACCATTGAAAGTGATATTCGGTATAAGCATAGTTTGAGAATCAGTATAGAACGTATTAATTTATGACAGTATTTATCCCGGAAATCCCACGAGAACGGAAACTATGCTATAAAATTCAGGGGCATATTATCTTCATTTTTTTAACGAATTACTAATATAATACAGTTAAAACTACACAATATATACATACATATTTATTAATAGTCATTGAGTAACATATCATCTAAAACCCGTCACAGCCCACTGCTACACTATGAAGCACCTCTTTTTTTTGTTAAAAAAATTTTGCCCCACACTAGAATTGTCTCCTGTGTCGTGTGTATACAAACATACAAGTTCACATACACATCACACACAGACACGGAACTACAATTTGCGGATCACACGAACACTTGCTCCGTGCGGGAATCGAAATCGCTACACGTTGCCCAGACACCGCATCGATCGTACCGTCAAAATATATGCATAAGAAATGTTTGTTATAGTCTTTACGCTTAGGGGGGGGGGACGACGACGACGACTTAGAATCCACAAGTTTTAACTCTCCCGCCTTGAGAGAGGAGACAGGGAGTGACAGACTCTTACTAAACCCCTCGAGCGTCCTTATGAGCACCCGGTGGATCATAAGAAAAAATGCTCCACGCTGCTTTCTCTTTTATAAAATCTATTATTAATGTTTTGTTTTTGTTTTGACTGTATTTGTTTTATTTCTGTTGTAATGATCCTTGTTTTCGTGTGCCAATGGCCAAATAAATGCATTTTCTTGCATGCATAAGGAACGCGGACGCTCGACGGGTTAACACAACACCACCCTGTTCCTACTGCTGCATAGAGCCGGGGCTATGGTAGCCTGCTAGGCTGCCTGCTGATCTAGAATTGACAATTGACAATAGAATTGGAGATTAAGTGATTACTTACTTTCAATATCCATCAGCTCCCGTAGTCTGATATGGTCTTCTAAATACTCTAAAATAGCTGAATCTTCGCCCAAAGGAGTTACCTGAAATTAAATATAATATTATTAAACCGAAACATACCATGTTCCTCCTACTATCAACGGACTTTGATGCGTTTTTTTTAATAGATATAGTGATTCATGATGCAGGTTTTTGTGTATACACAATTACACATGACATAGGCGTGCGAAGCCGCAAGCGGAAAACTAGTAATATCTACATATATATTTATTTATTTATTTATTTATTTATTTAAGCTTTAATGTACACAGAATCAAGTAATGGTACATAAGGCGGACATTAATGCCATATGGCATTCTCTCCCAGTCAACCTTAGGGTTAAATTGAAAAAAAAAAAAAAAATAGGCATGTGTAATTATAAGAAACAAATAACATAAATAGATTTAATAAATATAGATAGGTACAAAAAATATTTAAAATGTACACTACAATATAAATACAACATAAATATATAGGTATATATATGCATGCTCATATATATATATATATACTAAATAAATAAATTCTATAATAATACATATATAATAATAATAGACCTAGACTCAGCGTTGTAGTGACTTTAAAAAGAAATCGTGAACATCGCGTTTGAAAGTGATCTTATTTGGAGCCTTTTTTATGTTAAGCGGTAGTGCGTTCCATAACTTAATTACACTAACTGTGAAAAGAGTTAGAAATGAAGGATGTTCGGTGGGACGGAATCTCAAGAAGCAGATTTTCAGCAGAACGGAGATTACGGCTGTGAGAACTGCCCAGAACCTGGAAGCAAGACTTTAGGTATTCAGGAGCACAAAGATCATTCAGAATAGCGAAAAGCATGCAGAGGGATCTAAGAGATCTTCTCTCACGGATAGGAAGCCATTTTAGCTGATCGCGAAAAGAAGAAATGTGGTCGTATTTACGAAGACCGAAGATAAACGGATACAGTTATTGAGCATTCGATCCAATTTGTTCAGAAGGTCTTGGGATAGGTCAGAGTAACAAACATCAGCATTATCGATAACAGGAAGCACAAGGGACCGGACCAGTAACTGTTTTGTATTTGGGGGCAGAAAGTTTTTAATTATATAGAGGATCGCAGCGTAGCAGTAACTCTCTTACCAACCTGCGCAACCTGATGGTTCCAGCTGAGGTACCATCCAGGTATAGGCCCAAATTCTTTACGTAGGAGACAACGGTTATGACAACTTTATGTATATTATTGTTCGAGGTGATTAATATTCAAACGGTTTAAATAAGAGGAACTACCCAACACAATGGCCTGACACTTATCAGCATTAACGGTGACCCCATACTTCTTAGCCACTTTATATTGAGCAAGTTCGCATTAAGATGCTGAATACAGATCCGCAAGTCGGCAGCACAAGCCTGAGCATACAGTTGCAAGTCATCGGCATACAGATGATAAGAGCACGTGAGACGACTAGTGATAGAATTTATGAATAAAGAAAACAACAGAGGAGATAGTATACCGCCTTGCGGTACACCAGCCGTCAGCCCGCACCAGTCAGAGTGTTCCTGACCAATGCGAACCGCCTGCTGGCGACACGAAGACAAGCCGAAAACCACTCCCGAGACGACAACGAGAATCCAGACTGAGTTAATATAGCTAGGAGGACATCGTGGTCGACCGTATTGAAAGCGTTGGAGAAGTCAATTAAAACCAACACAGTTAACCTCGAGTCCCCATACCATACCTCGCATCTCAGTGACTTTCAGCAAGGCGGTAGAAGTGCTATGGCCGGGCCGAAACCAGATTGGAAAGGAGACAGTAGTTTGTGTTTTGAGATGTAGGAAGAGATTTGCTTATGAACAACTGCTTCGAGGATCTTTGATTGGTAAGGGAGAATCGAAATGGGTCTGAAATCTTTGACCAGATAGGGGTTAGGGATTTTAGGAAGTGGAATAATATGTGCTTTTTGCCAGATTGAGGGGAATACACCGTAAAATAATGAAAAGTTAATTATGTGAGTGAAATAGGGAGGAAGTGGTCGGTAATTAAGGAAATCATGGTACGGCCCACCCCGTCACAGCCCACCGCCCTGGACTTGACCGATGCAAAAACTCGTCGAATCTCGAGTTCAGTCACAGGACTAAATGAGAAAGTATCAGGGAGTGACATAGGCTTGGAAGTTATTTCAGAAATGGTTTGGAGTTTAACAGCATCAGCCAAACCAGACGATGTAGCAAAATGAAGGTTAAGACTATTAAGTGAAAGGTTCGGAGGCAAAACACTGGATGACGTCTTACAAACACCCAAAGTTTTCAAGAACTTCCATATATCAGCCTGTGAAGAATTTTGAACATTATCAAAAATGTATCGGCGTTTGGCAGCTCTCACCATCTGATTACACCGATTCCTCGCTATCCTGTACAATCCCCAGTTCTCCTCGCAACGATCCCTCTTATACCTGCAGAAAGCCCTATTTCGACGCCTCATGGCCATTCGGACCCCCTGAGTGATCCAAGGAGCCGGTGGACGCCTGACACGGACTGCCCTCAAAGGCGCATGTGAATCTAAAAGTTCAAGGACAGACTTGTTCAAGTTTTTCACTTTGTCATCAATGGAAGTCGATTGATACACGTTGGTCCAGTCAATGGATTGAGCATCACTGTTAAGTTTGACCTTGTCTATCCTCGCAAAGTTCCGAATATATACGAATGCGGGTCGCCGCTTAGGAGGCTTGATTTTATACGATAAGTAGATCAAGTCGTGCCTTGACAAACCAGGAGCCGCGACCTGTCCGTGATTAACGACAAGATCTAGGGAAGACACGAGCATGAGGTCGAGCCAAGAATCATCGGATCCAACATTACAATGGGTCGGATTTAGTGGGAGAAGTGAAAGGTTCGAAGAATCAAGGATCGACCTCAGCCCACGAGACCTAGGAGTAGTCTTTGTTAGATCAGTGTTAAAATCCCCCATGATTATGTGATGCTTATACTCTGAGGAAAAAGTATCGAAGAGGGTTTCTAGATGCGAAAAATAGTTTATGGCAGGTGGGCAGTAAACCACTCCAAGAACAGCCTTAACCCCCTTGACGTCCACCTCGAGGACCAAACTTTCCGGAGTCCCGCTGTAGAGGGATGGAGAAGAGGATAGTATTTTAAAGGGAATGTCACTTCGAAGAAAAATAGCAACACCCCCTGCTCTCTTACCTATTCGGTCATTTCGGATTAAGATAAATCCAGGTAGGCTGTAAGAGGTAGAAAGAAGCTCGGGTTTGAGCCAGCTTTCTGAGATTAATATAGCATGGATTAATGTGTCGGAAAAGATATCCAACAACTCCGAGTGGTGTTGAGGAACACTTTGAGCATTAACGTGGCAGATGTTAAGGCAATTATGGAATCGCTGACATTCATTAAGTAAGAAATTGTTTATGGATAAACAATCGTCAAGAGAAGAAGAAAAAGAATCAAGGGAACTACAGCTGAAAGAAATGAGTCATCGTCGGACATACTAAATAATATAATATGAGAATAGATAAAATAAAATGTATATATAAATAAGTGTAAGCTAAATGTTTATATTAAAAATAGTACTACTAAAGATAGTACTACAACTTGGAAACCTGCCGGTTGACTGTCACAAATCTAAGAGTACTAGAAGCTATTTAAAATATTTATTCCATATAAGCAATGATATTGACAATCTAAAAGGACATGAAGCTAAATATTTAATAAAAATAAAACCATAATGAAACATGCAATTGACGCACTGACAGTTTGACATTATTACAGCAGTGACATTGACAAGTTTTGTCAAACAAATATTGATTTTGTTTATTTATTACTAGACGGTATGACGATAAAACTATTAACTCGTCGAATACCGGTTTTATAGACACAATTAAAGAACAATAGGTCGCGGTCACCGGTGACCGCTTGGTGTTTGACAGATTAAATCTATCACTAACAAAGGAAAATATATAACTAGCTTTTACCCGCGGCTTCGCTCGCGTCACAAAAGGATAAAAAGTAGCCTATGTGACATATATACCAATACACACATCGCCATCTATACCAATACTTTTGTTTTCCCTCGGGAATATCACATTTTTTCGGGTTAAAAAGTACCCTATTATTTAATCCAGACTTCTAACTTTACGTCTGCAAAAATTCAAAGCAATCGGTTTAGTAGTTACGACGTGAAATCGGAACAAACTAACAAACAAACTCACTTTCCGATTTATAATATTAGTAAGGATATATATATGAGGTTATTTCACACATCCTGTTTTCTCCCGTTCCCGTGGGATTTTCAGTATTTTATTTGTCATAAGAACCTTCTCCTGACAATAACAAACACAACAAAAAAAACATCAGCCAAATCGGTCTAGCCGTTCTCAAGTTATGGCGTGTATATAGATAGTCAGAGGATTATGTATATAGATAGTCAGAGGTTTAAGACGCGCTTCTCATTCATGAGGGCGGGGGTACGAAACCTACCAACGGCAAGTACCAATGTGACTTTATCCGAGTTAAATGTACTTTCTAAGATTATCTAGATACCACTAACAAAACGGTGAAGGAAAACATCGTGAGGAAACCTGTGATAATAATTTCTAATTATAAGTTTGAAACCGCCAACCCACATTGAGCAAGCGTGGTGATTAATGTTTAAACCTTCTCCGTGTGAGAAGAGGCCTTTGGTCAGCAGTGGGCACTTATAGGCTGTTTATAATGAATAAAATAATTGAATGAATAAAATTTACTAACATAATAACTCCGTCCTCTAAACAAGGGTGTAAGCAGAGGCAGTGCGGATATGGCGCGTTGTATTGAGGCATCCCTTAACATCGGCTCGCCGCCCTTACATATATACCGGCGGGTCTGTCCGTCCGACAGTAACGCTTTTATCACACATGGACGCCTTATGGAGTCTGTAAACACTGTCACCTAGAAGAAGTATAAAAAATATTTTTGAATTTTAAAATAGTACATATTTTCGTTTATGAAACATAATAAATTAAGCCCGCCTATGTACTCTTGTTGCATAAAGTTAAATAAATAAAAATAAATAAATAAATAAATGGGGGAAAGTCCCGTAACGCCAGACGGCACCTAACGCCGGACACTTGTATTATCTCGATAACTAATAACGTGAGTGATTCAATTCTTACTAAAAATCTTAGGTGTCTGTCACTTGGCGACTTCCCCCGAAAAATGGAATCACTCGCGTTATTAGTTATCGAGATAAGACAAGTGTCCGACGTTAGGTGCCGTCCGGCGTTAAGAGATTTACCCCTAGTATTCATAACATAGAAACATTTTGAATATATTATTTTCCATTACATTTCGTTCCAATTGCATGTCTACCTAATTTTTACGACATATCTAGTATTATTTGTCATATGATTGAAAAACACTGATCTTTACAAAATTTATTGATGTTTACAGGCATCATCGCGCTTGCAAATTGGAGAAAAGAAATATTTCGACTGTTCAATACAAGCAAAAAATAATATTAAAAAGCAATCACACTTTCATTAACTAGATAATTGATTTTATGACCAACTTAATTTTAGTATTTTTCCAGCAAATATAGTAAGAAATAAGTATGCTGTTTGACTCTAAAAAAACGTGACGTCACAATACACAATCTCGTACAAAATTCATAGAAAAGCTGTCGTTTTTGACAGTTCGAAAAAAGTATTGAAATTGACTAGTTGGCAAGTACCCGATTAATACATAATATCATATTGGTTTACTAACGTAAATATACAGAATCAATATATACAGAGAGCGTAAACAGAAAGCTCCCGAAAAACTATGACAAAAAACAGTATTTACAATGTAACACCCACTTTTTACTATTAATATTATGAGCCCCATCACAGATGGGGCCCAATAGGGCTGATGGCGATTCGGAGTCGCGAAGGGCCTAACGGGTTACCGGGGCTCCAGCTCGAAGTGCAGGAGTAGGAACGGGGTGGTTTTTAGTCATTTTTTTGTTTTTTATGGGACAACCCCGCCACAACCTCCCAAAACCGCTGCAACTCCTGTAAGCCAGGATCTACAGTAGATACAACCATGAAAACACCGGAACACTGAAGTCCGGCGCGTCCCAGGAACATGAACAACTGTCTTGGTTCCCGCAATGAAGTGAATCAGAAGATATTATAAGAGAAGAAAAAAAAGTGGTTTTTAGTCAGTAAGAGTCTGACATTCCCTTCCGCATCACCCAGGCGGGAGAAGTCATTCGATGATTTCCCCCCCTAAAAAATTGTTATGAGCCCCATTATAGACCTTATTTCCAACGTTTAGAGACTACTTTTGTATAAATAAATTATGGGGATTTTCCGTACAATATATGAAGTGGTTAAAATATAAATACTTACTTGTTCGATAAACTTCAAGACGTGTACATTGGGGGGTAGTCGCAATAGTCTTTGTAAGTGCAATCTTTTGCTTTCAAGAATCAGGGGCGAACATAAGTCCGGACACAATTGGGATAGCCTTAATGTCGTCCTCGATGTTTTCGGTAGCAATTCATCTCTTATTAGTTTTAATTCTTGTGCTTTTGTATCTGAAAATGAAATTTTTAGGTTAAGCTACCATTGTTGAGGTTAGTTGTTGGATGGGTGACCGTTGCTAAGGTTTTTAATATTTCTTCAAGTTGTTAAAATTTTCAAATACCGTGAAACCTGGTAAAGTGATACATCAAGGGACCTGCAATGTTGTTTCACTTATAGAGGTATTCCACTTACCCAGTGTCACAGATATACAGGTATAAATAGATATCTGTCTCATTTACAGAGGGTTCCATTAATAGAGGTGGACTTGGAATTACGTGTGGAATTTGTGGGTATAATAAGAATGAGTAAACAAACAATTATCACGAATGATAAATCGAAAGAACAAATCCACGATATAGAGGTTTACCTCGTCCCACTAACAGAGGTTATTCAGTGCCAAAGTGTTGGGACCTCAGCATGAGTTCCAGTTATGTAGGTTTCTCACTTATCTAGGTCCCACTTAATAAAGTTTCACTATATTTTTAAACTTAAATAAAGATAGTCCAAACTTTAAAAAAAAATATTTGCTCGGACTTAAAGCTTCGTTATACTCGACTACACTAGAATCAAACTTCGAACGTCGGACTAGACTACAGTCGTCGCGGAGAACCTAACGGGTAACCGGGGCTCCGGCTCGACGTGCAGGAGAAGGAACGGGGTGGTGTTTAGTCAGTAAGAATCTGACACTCCCTCCCTCCTCACCCACGCAGCAGTCATTCGATGATTTTCCCCCCTTAAAAAAAGACTACAAAGTCAAAAAGACATACATACCAATATCATCCATATGTTCCAAGGCATAAAGTTTATTTTTTAAAGTACTCAACGATTGGTAGTCGGTACCGCCATATTGATTTTCAAATATTTGATCTTTCATCTTTTTGAATATAATTTCAAATTCTTCGTCGTTGAAAACTGTAATATAATGTTTAATTTATAGTCAGTCATCATGTTATTTAATAAAATAATATATATATATATATATATAAAAGAAGGTCGTGTTAGTTACACCACTTAAGAACGGCAGAATAGATTTGACTGAAAATTGGTAGCTTAGAGCCAGGATACCGACATAGGATACTTTTTAACCAATTTTTTTTTTACTTTTTACCAAATATCACGAACGGGGACGGGAAAAAATGGAATTACGCGTACGAAGTCGCGGGCAGAAGCTAGTTATTAAATAAAACACCTATTTGCAGACAAGATAATAGGGTAGTTTCCTAAATTTTATTTTAATGTCCGTCTGGTGCATTAATTTAAAACTTTACCAATCAATCAATCAATCATTTATTATTTGTAAAACATAGGTAACAAAATACAGATCTTAAAGGTAAACAACAGTGCGCTATGTTTTGTCTATGCTAAGACATACACATATATTTTGGAGTTTAGACACGTATTTTTTTGGTTTGTCGTGTAAGAATACTTAGAAATAAAAGTTTAGGAGTGGGGACTAAAACGTCATTTCTACGTATAAAATGTACATAGAAGTGACGTCACGCGACGTTTCAAATCAATATATCGTCGAAACATTCCTTTCTGTAAGAAAATAAAAAATACGTGTGTAATGATATAAAATAATCTACCAGGCGGACATTAAAATAAAAATTAGGCATCTATCCTATTGTACGCGTACGAAGTCGCGGGCAGAAGATAGTCTAATATGGACAACTACTTACCATTTTGTCTTAAATCCTCACAAAATTGCGATAAAGCATAATTTACATCACAAATCAATTGAAAATATTGCTTGCACGTGTCTAGTTCAACATCTTGCAATCTTGATAAATAATTCTCATTCACCACTGTTGCTGGCAACGCTGTCATTATTTTTTTCAGTATGGCAATACTGCAAAAGTCCAGGCGCGGGAATACTCGGTATATCTGTAAAATGAAGATTCAAACTTAATTCAAAGCATTTATCTCAATTAAACTATAATTTGGTACTTTTAAATGTCAACTTGTTAGACTATAAGATTTTTTTTTAAATTTTAGTAAGGTTTGTAATTAGTTCCTATAATGCGTCAAGCGTGTCTTTGCATTGTTCTCACATATACGTACAGTATTGGAATATGTATCAGAGACATTGTAGAACATACTTTTTTAAAAGAGTAACGAATGGCATTTTTTGCTTGTTCTTCTCCATTCTAATCTACATTTTGGAATGAGCACCTAGCTTCACTGACGGACTGACTGACAGACTATTATTTATTTTGTATAACACGACATTTCAAATCAATACATCGTCGAAAGTATAAAATTTTGCGAGAAAAGAAAAAATACTTGTCTAATGTTTTAAAATAATCTAGCAGACGAACATTAAAATAAAATTTAGGAAACTACCCTATTCTATTCTACCACATGCTCAAAAAATTGTGTTTATATCATTCAAAGTCAAAGTCAAAGTCAAAATCATTTATTTCAATTAGACCAGAAAGGCACTTTTGAACGTCAATAATAAAATTAGAAGTGAAGCTATTTGCTCATTCCAAGGTGTAGATTCCTATGGAGAAGAACGAGCAAGAAACTCCATAGGTTACTCTTTTTCAATCAGGTTCACAAATTTAAATTATACTTAGAGTATACAAAGTCAAAGTCAAAATAATTTATTTCAAATAGACCAGTAAGGCACTTTTGAACGTCAAAACAAAATATTTAAGTATCTATTAAATAATAAGAAAAAATGTCAGTCTGTAGGTCAGTCCTCTAGTTGCTCTATTTGCTCGTTCCAAAGTGTAGATTCCTATGGAGAAGAACGAGCAAGAAACTCCATAGGTTACTCTTTTTCAATAATGTTCTCAATACAATTATACTTGGGGTACATACCTGATCCAATAAAGCTTTAGCAGCGACATCGCTTATAGTGACGTCAGAGTGGGCGAGTCGATTAAATGGTGTCGCCAACAAGAGGTTGCAGTCTGTGGTCAAATTATAATCCAACACCTTATCTATTATACCAGTCATAGCTAATATTAATTCATTTTGGAATATTTCATCTGAAAATTAAAAATTAAAGTTTTTAACCGTAACATAATATCACGCCTTTTTATCCCCGAAGGGATAGGCAGAGGTGCACATTACGGCACTTAATGCCGCTGTACAATGTAACACCCACTTTTCAGTATTTATGTTATGAGTCCCATGTAATAGGGGGTGAGCCTATTGCCATATACCGGGCACGATTCCAGACTCCGTGCTACTACTGAGATTTTTTATTAAAAACCCAGTAATACTTTCCCCCCTTTCCCAGTCTCCCCAATCCCCGAATCCCCCACAATCCTCAAACTCCTAATTCCCAAAAGGCCGGTAGCGCACTTGTAACGCCTCTGATGTTTCGGGTGTCTATTATTATTATTACCATTTATTTCAATCAATTACATAGATCATTAATTACACATTACAAACCATAATACAATATAAAAGTCACAGTCACATATCAAAAATCACAATCACAAGTCAGTCATCACTAAAATAATCTCCCAACTCAAAACAATAATTTCACATTAGCCAGTACATGAACCATACAACAGTGGTTCATGTACTGACAGTCAAAACGTTCAGCAAAGGCGCTCAGGATACTATTGCGGCTGCCCCGCACCCTGTTCACTAATGACGTGCACCGCTTGCGCATGATTGTGTTGAAGCAGTCTACCCGTGCGCTGGCAAACATACCCGATGCGCTACAAAAGCGAGGCAGCCCCAAGAGCATCCTGAACGCGTTATTGTATTGAACACGCAGAGCGCTGTACTGTTTCTGCGTATAACTCAACCACAAAGCCCCCGTATAGAAAGACGTACAAAATGCTCTAAACAAGGTTATCTTGACATTCTCCGAACATCTTGCAAATCTACGGGCTATCATATTCGCACGAACAGACAGCGCCCTACGCTCCCGCTCAATATCAGCATCATCTTCCAGGTCTGAGGTCAGAATATGTCCAAGATATTTAAAAGTATCTACTCTCTTGAGAGGGTGTCCATTTAGAATTATTTTTGGTATCGGAGCCGGACATCTCTTCTTGGCCCGAAAGACCATGCACTCGCTTTTCTTCGTGTTGTAAACTAAACCATGCTTTTCAGCATACTGCTGACAAATGCCAATCATCCTCGACAACCGCAAACAGAGGCGCTCAGCAGCACCATATCGTCAGCATAGCTGATATTGTTTATGCACACCCCTCCGACATGACAACCTACATGCGTTCTGCTGAGCTCCTCTATCAGCGCATTCACATACAGGTTAAAGAGCCTCGGAGAGGTCAGTCCTCCCTGCCTAACGCCACACTCCAACCTGTACGGAGCCGAGTACGCCCCCGACCACCGAACAACATTAACTTGGTTGTTATACCAGTACCGAAAAATCCGAATAATTCCGTCCGGCACTGAAACCTGCTGCATTTTATGCCACAGCAGATCATATGATACCAGATCGAATGCCTTCGATAGATCCAGAAAGCAGGCAAAGACAGGCGTACTTCTATCAGTATAATACTTCACAGTTTGCTTTAGACACAGTATCGCAGCCTCCGTGGACAGACCGGATTTGAAACCAAACTGATTGTCGTGTAAATGGATGAAATTGTCCAGCTGAGTGTCAAGCAAACCGTCAAGCACCTTCGAGATAACAGTAGCCAATGAAACCGGTCTGTAATTATTCTTATCACTAATGTCCCCGGTTTTATTTTTGACAATTGGCACCACTACAGTCTTCATCATTTGCTTTGGCATAAATGAATGTCCCATACAAAAGGTCTATGGGCGACGCCGATTGCTTATCATCAGGTGATCGGTCTGCCAGTTTACCGGCTTATCTTATAAATAAAAAATACTTTGCCCGACCCGGGGATCGAACCCGAGACCCCTTGCCCAGCAGTCGCACTTGCGACCACTCGGCCAACGAAGCAGTCAAAAAGTGTGTATGTTTGTAACTCAATCACGCCAAAATGGCTGAAGGGATCGGGATGAAATTTGTAACAGGGGTAGATTATAGTATGGAATAACACATAGGGTACTTTATATCTCACAGTAATAGTAGAATATAGTATAGAGGTAAAGTTAATCTTTTTTGTTTTTACAATAACTATCGCGAGACACAATAAAAAACATACTAATGAGACATAATAATACAAAACGTGATAAATGTGGGAAAGCCATGCTTCGGCACGAATGGGCCGGCTCGACCGGAGTGATACCACGGCCGAGCAGAAAACCGACGTGAACGAACACTTGCGTTGTGTTCCATCGTGTGAATGAGGTTACCGGAGGCCCAATTACCCTCCCCTTCCCCAATCTCCCCAATTCCTGAATCCCCAACGATCCTTAAACTCCTAATCCCCAAAAGGCCGGTAACGCACTTGTAACGCCTCTGGTGTTCCAGGTGTCCGACGACGAGGGCCACGCCGATTGCTTACCATCAGGTGATCCGTCTGCTCGTTTACCGGCTTATGCCATAAAAAAGCATACTAAATTAACTAAAATCGCGGGTTACTCACGTGAATATATTGAGAAAAGCTCTACTAGTTTTGAACCACAGAGGGGTTCTTCCTCATGAGCAGCGTGCGCGGCCACTGCTATGTCAGTAGACTGTGTGATTTTTACTTAATTTAATATTTCTTATATTTACTTACCACTGTCGGTCCACATATCGTCGTAATAAGCTAGCGCAGTGTCGTATATTGATTTTAAAGCTGACCCACTGTTGTATGACAATTGCGAATTATTACTGTCCTGAATTTTGGCACTCACTTCTTGTAAGACATCGTCTAAAGTCATTTTTGAGAGCGCTGTAAGGAGATAAACATCTATATTTATAAAAGAAAATCGTGTTAGTTATTGTAACTCTAGAACGGCTGAACAGATTTGGTTGAAAATTGGAGGGGCGATAGCTTCGAACCAGTGCCTTTAGCCAAACGCCACCTATTTTTTTTTTAAGGGGGAAATCATCGAATGACTGCTCCCGCCTGGGTGAGGCGGGAGGGAGTGTCAGACTCTTACTGACTCAAACCACTCCGTTCCTTCTCCTGCACGTCGAGCCGGAGCCCCGGTTACCCGTTACGTTCTCCGCGACTCCGAATCGGCATCGGCCCTGTTGGGCCCCATCTGTGGTGGTCTGATGGCTCTTTGAGGTGTGTCATATAGGTTGCATTATTTCCTTTGGCGTAGCCGTAAAAAGTAGTTACAAAATACTTACAATTCAAATCATGATGTAGATCTAATATGACCTTCTGCATATTTATGTTTGTTTCTATTGAAGAATCCGAGGAGACTACTTGACTGTGCGTCTCTGTAAACAAAATCGGTGACAGTTAATAACATTTTATTGTCTACCTCTCCGATTATAATTTAGGGGGAAGATGCAATGATAATTCCAATTTCCCCCCAATAGGGCAGTAGACAGTGTATGAAAATTAAAAATGTAATTAGTCCGTCAACTGATGAAAAATTATTAGATACATTTTTTTTATTTTGTCGTATAAGAAAACAATATGTACTTAGATAAAACAGAGTTAAGTTTAGGAGTGAGAGGTCGTTACGTCACGCTACCCTATAAAATGTAGTAACTCGTCACACGATATTTCGAATCAATATATTCGAAAGTATTTAATTTTGTAAGAAATGAAAAAATAGGCGTCTGATGATTTAAAATAATCCCTATACCCTACCAGAGGCATGCGGTGAAGTAGGAATAATTCGGTATCGAAGACAAAACATTTATTCCAATGGAGGCTATCGTTCTTTGCTTATCATATGGTGCTAAACAAGCAAGAGGATTTTTGTCTAATCACTGTAGATATCAAATATTGAACGTCCAAAGGTATGGCTTCTCA